GGCGGGGGCGGGAGGGCTGCTGCATCACGGCGGCTGTGGCCGCACTGGCTCCCTTTCTCTGCTCTGGTGTAACTCCTGCAGGTATCCCAATACGGCCTGTGAACTGCTGACCTCTGACGTGCCCCAGATCAATGACAAGCTCGGAGGGGATGAGATGCTACTGAACATCCTCTATGACTTCCTGGACCAGGAGCCTCCGCTGAACCCTTTGCTTGCCAGTTTCTTCAGCAAGACCACGGGCAGCCTCATAGCAAGGAAAACGGAGCAGGTGAGCATCCGATCCGAAGTCTGTATTCTTGTGATTGTTCTAAAGCAGCCGCTGTTTCCTCTGGAAACGGATTGTCTGGCTATTTGCTGTGATGTGCGGCATGTCATGCGGTGCTGTCTTTTATTCTTTCAGGTGATTTCATTTTTGCGGAAGAAAGTCACGTTTCTTGACTTGGTGCTCAAGCACATTGATGCGTCCGCCATGATGGATCTTCTCCTGCGACTCGTCAGCTGCGTGGAGCCAGCTCAGCTGCGGCAGGAAGTGCTCAGTGTGAGGGCTTGTGCGCGGTGTTGCCTCTTTGGGTGTGTGCCAGCGGAGACCAGAACTCTTCCTATGGGGAGCGGCTTTTCATCTTCAGGCGACGGGGGAGGGGGGGAGGGAGGGCCTCCGACCGGGCTCTGCTCCAGCTTCTTCTGAAGCAAGGGCTGGCTCAGGGCAGGGCTGTCCAGGCACCGCGGTCGGAGGTCTTTCCCAGCTGCCCCCACGGGGACCGGGAGGGGTGGTCTCGTGCCGTGGCCCTCTGTGTTCAGGAAGGGCTCCCACCCCCTCTCCCGCTCAGCCCATCCTTACCTTGGGTCTTTGTGTCCCTTGGCTGCTTCAGGGCCTGGCACTGTGTGAGTCAGGGTGTTAGGTGACAGAGAATGCAACCGGGAGGTGTGTGCAGTTTGGTTTCTTTTGTTGGCTCAGGTAACTGCCCTGTTTGGGAGTGAGAGGGGGGGAGAAGGGCCCTGGGAGAGAGTTGTCTTTGCTGCAGCGTGTTGTCCGTTGGTGTGAATTATCTGCTACAGCTGCGTGCTTGCAAGGCCACCTTTCCTTTCCTTTCCTGCCGTGTGTGCATTCTGTCCCTTGGTGGCACGCTGGTCTTTGTTGGGATGGCATGGCAGGAAGACAGCGGTGTCAGGTTGTCTTTTCCTTGTGTGTGTGTGCGTGTGTGTGTGCGCGCTGGATGAGGTGGCCACGGGTCTCTTCCGGCTGGGATTGTAGCCTCTGCCCCGGCTGCCACAAGAAATGGGGAGGGTGGTGAGAATCCCTGCTGGCATGAAGGCACCCCCCCCCCCCGGGCCGGCGGGGGGGTCCCCCTCCCTTCCCGGAGGGGCACTGGGGGTGTCCGTGGGATTGACTGTCTGGCCCGTTTCCCTTTTTTGTCCCTTCAGTGGCTGAATAAATCAAAGGTCATTCAGAGACTCGTGGAGCTGATCTCTCCCAACCAGGATGAGGATGTGAGTATGACCCCACCCCCCCTTCTTGGAGACGTATGGCCCCCTCTGCGGATACTTGTCCGTGGACTGGGGCCACACTGTCAAAAAAGAGATTTTCCTGCAGACCTGTGTCTGTGCTTGCAGAAGGAATTCTACAGCAAAAAGAGGATGTGTACAAAAAGCAAAACGAGACCTGCTGACTGCAGAAGTAACGAGAGCTCCCCTCTGAATTGCAGGCGGGGGGAGAGACAGTGGCACGCTGTGACTTGGAGGGGCCATGGCGGCTGAGCAGTGACATGGCCTCCCCTGTAATCTCTTCCTCCTCTGCTGGGAGTTCTGAGCTAAGAGCTGACAGTATCCCAGCAGATTGGCTCAGTTGGTCATTGCTGAATAAATTCAGGTGAATGGTTTTTATGTACAGAGGTGATTCAGGAGCTCACTCTTCATTTTGGAAAGGTGCAGGTTGTGTCTCCACCGAATGCCAAACAGATTTTTACTTGCTGTAACTGCTCCCAGGTGAATCATAGTGTTGGAAGGGACCTCCAGGGTCATCTAGTCCAACCACTTGCACAATGCAGGAAATTCACAACTACCTCCCCACCACACCCCCAGTGACTGTTGTCCCACACCAAGAAGAGGACAAAAAACCTCCAGGATCTCCAGCCAAATTGGCCTGGAGAAAAATTGTTTCCTGGCCCCAAAGTGGCGATGATTGCCAATTCCCTGGGCGTGTAAGAACTAAGCACTTGTCAGCTATGCTGCCATATTGTTTATGGGTTTGCTTTCATGACCTGTGTGCCAGTGGCTGCCGCATTCCTTTCTTTTCGCTTCTTCCCCCCCCCTCGTTTTCGCCGACCTTGTAGCTGGCCTGCGTAGTGTCTTCCCATCCATTAACCGCGTGACTCGTTTTGTTTCCCAGCCTCGACTCTTAACTGCCCTGGTCCTCCTTCCCGCCCACAGGAGTCAGGACGATTGGCCCATAGGTGGTGGTGGTGGTGGGGTGCTTTCGAATACCCTGTATCTCTCTCAGCTTCCTGTGGTGTGGTTATTCCTACCAGTGACTGTGTCTGTGCGACCATAGTGCTAGCAATAAAGTATAACCTCCGAAGGCGCGTGTGTGCTCCGTGGTCTGACTCTATGGGTCCTGACAGCACTGAGGCAACCCTTCCCGCCTTCCCTCTCGCGACCTGCCCGAGTCCGTGGAACTTGCATGGCTGTCAGACGGGGCCACCTGGCCTCTGCTGGGAAACCTCCCAAGGAGGAGAGCCCACCACCCCCTCCCGAGGAAGCCTGCTCCACCGAGGAGCCGCTCTAATGGTCGGGAAGCTCTTCCTCATCTTTGGCCGGAAACTCCCCTGGTTTAATTTCAACCCATTGGCTCTGGTCTGACCTTCTGGGACAGCAGAAAACCACTCCGCAGCATCCTCATGTAAAATGTTTCCTTATGGATGGATTTCTTGTCGAACTGCCAGTATTTCACCTGCGGGGTGGGGTGGGGGTTTGCACACAGGGCCTACCAGGCATAGACTCAGCTGCGTCTTGGCTTTCCTGTGGAACTCCTCTGCAGATGTTTCTCTGGAAGTATCAGCGCACTTGGTAGCCTTTGGTAAAGCCCACCTCCATAGCGGGCACAGGCAAGGCGCCCACTTGGTCCTTGGCGAGGCAGGGCAGCCCGAGCACCACCTCATCGGAGGTGATGGAGCCCTCAGGGGCAGAGAGTCTCAACAGAACGTTTTCCTGTGGCTGGTATTCCCCTCCCTCCCTCCCTCCCTCCCTCCCTGCTTAATAGCTTTTTAGCATCCCCTTTGTAACTTCCTCCTCCTTCCAGTGGAGCTGGACTTGAAGTCAGGTGTTCTGGGTGAGGAGATCTTCCCGGGGCCCCACTCTGTGGTTTGACGGTGGAAGGTGCCGTCCGGCCACAGCTGCCTTATGGATGACCCCGGTGGGGTTCTCAAGGCAAGAGACGACGTTCAGAGGGGGCTGGCCATGGCCTGCCCTCCTTGTCACGCCCCTGGTGTCCTTGTGGAGGACTCTCCCATCCAAATACCAACCAGGACCCTTCAGGTCAGGGCATCTCTTAGTCTCTGTCCTCTTATTGCCCACCCCCCCAATGGAGACGGTTTCTCCCCCTCCCTCCCCCTCTATTTTGTATGGAAGTCCTTATTCCCATTATCAGCTCTGTCAGGGCTTGACAGCCTAGGCCTCAGGTCACTGTTGGTATGTAGAAACTTCATTCTGTGGTGCCTAATACTTCCATAATTTTTTGGATAGTATCTCTCTGCGATCCTTGGTAGAAGTACAACAGTTTTTTATAACTTCAGAATGTTTTCCTGTATGGCATCAGAGCACCTGTGTGGGGTCATTTATTGATCTCTTGCTTTCTGTACTGACTCCAGCAGTCACGTGAAGCAATATTGAAATGATTAGAAATTGGGGGAAAGTTAGGTTAGGGTTAGAAGTTAGCTTTTTGTTGTGGTGATGTCCTGCTTATTTATACAATACAGCGCTTTTGTCACAGCTTAAATAAAATTATGAGAAACTGCAAAAAGCTTAGAATAAGGTTTTGTGGTCACAGTAACGAGAGAATATGGTCATTCGGGTTAATTTTTATTTTTATTTTTCTCAACGTGGGATACAAAAGGGGAAAAGCTCAGGGGAAGTTATGAATTCATCAAAAAGTATCAAATATGAATAGCTGCATACAAGGAGGATCAGCGGTATTAATATGACTCCATTTTTCAAATATAGAAGCAGATGATAATACGGGGTCATTAACAGGCAAATCCATGAAGGCTGAAAAACGACTCTGGCTCCCGTGTTCCCTCCAGGCTGGTTCCTGGAGCCAGAGGAGACGGGTTGAGGGGGGCTGTAGCACATCAGAGGACGGTGGGGATGGGTGGACGCCAGCAGAAGGCAGTGGACTGGAGAAGGACCCTCCCTGATCATGGAGCCAGGAATGGCAGCCCCATTCCCACCCTCCTCAGCATCCGGCAGAACAAACCTTGACAAGTCCCGTATTCTGCGGGCCGCTTTTGCCCTGACTTTGTCTCTCCTTGTGGGCAGAGGCAGTCGAATGCGTCCCAGACCCTGTGTGACATCATCAGGCTAAGCAGAGATCAGAGCAGTCCACTCCCGGAGGCAGCTGAGCCTGACCCACTCCTCGCCGTCTTGGAGTCGTAAGTACATTTGGTGAAGCCCTCGATTGCTGCCCCTGGTCACTCACTCGGGGGGCAGGGATGGCCTCGCAGTGTGCGCCAGGACTGCCTCTAGAAGAGCTCCAATAATTTCCCTAGTGAGATGGGCTTGCCAGCAGGGTCTATGTGGCTCTTTCTCTTCCGTTTGGTCTCTGAGAACATAAAAAGGAGGGATTGGATTTCTACCCCTTGCCCTTCACTACCCGAAGGAGTCTCAGAGCGGCTTACAACCTCCTTTCCCTTCCCTTCCCCTCCCCACAACAGACACCCTGTGAGGTAGGCGGGGCTGAGAGAGCTCTCTCAAGGACTCCTCTTGAGAGAACAGCTCTGAAAGGACTTGTGACTGACCCAATGTCATGCCAGCAGCTGCTTGTGGAGGAGGAGTGGGGAATCAAACCTGATTCTCCCGGATTAGAGTCCGCACTCCTAACCACTACACCAAACTGGCTCTCTGCCCTGCTGGATCAGACCGGTCATTCGGTCCATCTAGTCCCGCATCCTGCCTCACACAGTGGCCAGCCAGTTCCTCTGGTGGGCCAACAAACAGACCAGAGAGGCTGAGGCCTTCCCCTGATGTTGCTTCCTGGCTCTGGAATGCAGAGACTGACTGTCTCTGAATGTGGAGGTTCTTCTCAGCCACCGTGGCCATTGAGCCACTGATAGGCCTCTCTTCCGTGAATCTGTCTAATCCCGTTTCCTGTGGCCATCACTACATCCTCTGGCAGCCAATTCTGCATTTTAATCAATTGGTGTAAAGAAGTATTTCCTTTTGACCATCCTGAATCTACTGCCCATCAGCTTCATTTGATGCTCTCAAATTCTAGTATTTGAGGAGAAAAATTTGTTTGTCTTTGGCCACCCCATGCATAATTTTGTATCGAATTTTATTGTAACAGCGATTAGCCAGCAATATAAAACCAGAAAAAATAAATTACAATGGCCAAATAGTAAAATTTCCAAAATTCAGCAAGGTAAAAGGTGCTAACAATATAAACTTTACATTTGTTAAAACCAAACTAAGAGTGCGCTGCCATAAAACACAGTATAGTATAAAAGAATAAAACATATTACCAAAGGGAATGGTACGAGTTAAAATCAACAGTCCTAACCCGAGTGCCAACCATCATGCTGATGCGCTTCTACCACCAAGGAACAAAATTTCGCAATCTGATAGAGCGCTGTGTGTTCAAGGTTAAGAAACAAGTTCTCCACCTTGTCCTGATCTGAAGTGCCTGCCAGAAGGGGATTAATAAGTTTAGTACGAGCCTCTTCAAATACCGGGCATCTTAGGAACACATGTTCCTGAGATTCAATCTCCCCCAACGCACACAAGCATAGCCTCTCTGTTCGGGGTATTTTTTTAAATTTACCCTCAAGAACTGCAGAGGGTAAGGCCGAGCATCTGGCCAGAGTATATGCCCTCCTAAGTTTACGTGACTCCAAAACGTTAAGATATGGGGCCTGCGCAACGATGTATTTAATTCTAATTGGCGCTATAAATGTTGGGGACACCTGTAGATCTAATTGACGTTCGGTATCCTTGATCCTCTGTCTTATTTCTAACTTAGCTCGGTCCCTACCCATCTCCAAAAGCGCTAAGGGAGAATACCCCAAGAGCGAGATTTTCCGCTTAACAGAAATCAGCCAATTAGATTCAAAGGCATCAGACAGAATCAGGGGCACTAGTCCACATGGGTTCAAATTGATCTTCAGCCAATAGAAGATGGAGTATAAGGCAATCATGGCTTCAACCTTCAGCATGCCAGTCTCTAGCCGTACCATTGCGTTGGATACGCATCTCGGAACTTGGAGCACTGCTCTCAAAAATTTCGATTGGACTAGCTCCAAAGGAGCATAGCTAGATGGAGGCGCTCCAAGCAGCGTTCCGTAGAGCATCTGGGCAAGTGTTTTGGCCTTGTAAAGTTTTAAAGCTGGTGGTACAAAATAGCCCCCTTGGGAGCTAAAAAACTTAAGAATGCCATGAGAGGATTTTTCACCCGAGCAAGCAGCTGCCTGGCTATGGGCAGTCCTAGATCCAGAGGCTTGGATGATCATGCCCAGATAGCGAAAACTAGCTACCTGTTCGAGGTTCTGCCCATTTACCCTCCACTTCCTTAGTTTGGGTCTCCTGCTCATTGCTATAGCAAGCGAACTTCTTAATTGCCCTTCTCATTCCAATTGGGGTTCTAGAAAGAATAACAGCGTCATCAGCATATAACAGTATCGTGATAGAGCGCTGAGCCAATTTGGGGGGATGAAGATCTGCATCATCTAGGTACCCAACAACATCATTGAGGTAAAAATTAAATAGAGCAGGAGCTAGCATACAGCCTTGCCTAACTCCCTTTAAGGTGGGAATTCTATCAGTCAAGTGCCCCAGCCTGGAATATCTAACCCTCAAAGATGTATGTTCGTGGAGGGCACGAATGAGGGCTAGAAGTCTCCTATCTATTGAGGAGGCTTCAAGTTTACTCCATAGCATAGATCTAGAAACGGAATCAAAGGCCGCTTTAAGATCAATAAAGGCAGCATAAAGTGACGTAGGGCCCTTGCCAGAATATTTTTCAATCAGATGCTGTAAAAGGAGGCAGTGATCCATTGTTGACCTACCCTGCCTAAACCCAGCTTGCTCCTGTATTATTATATCCTCTTGCTCGAGCCAGAGCGTCAGTTTTTCTAGGAGATGTTTGGCATATAATTTGCTAATGACGCTAAGTAGACTAATAGGCCTGTAGTTTGCAGGATCCTTTTGATTACCCTTTTTATAAAAAGGAACAACCACCGCCTCCCCCCAGTCACTTGGGACCCTCCCTGTTCTATCGATGTAAGTAAATAGGTGCGCTAAGAAGGGTGCCCACCAGTTTATATTTTCCTTCAGAAATTCAGGGGGGATGCCATCTAGGCCGGGGGCCTTTCCTCTTTTAAGTTGGCCTATCAGTGCTGTGATCTCTTCAGATGATACTTGAGGCCAGCTTGGCAGGTCACTGAAAACTGCGGACACAGAGCAGGGGGAAGGAGTGTCATGGTACAAATTTTGAAAATGAGAGATCCAAGTTTCAGGAGGAATATAGGTTTCCCTTATTGAGGTGCTGTGTTGCTTTCGAATGGAGACCAACCTCCAAAACAAAGCGGAGTTCTTTTCCTTAGCAGCTTGGATAAGAGCCCTCCATGCTTCCCTAGCATAATCTTTCTTTTTTCTTTTAATTAAATTTTTATAGAAGCGTTTTTTTTCTAGTAGGGCTAGGTAAGCACTTAGCTCTTTCGTATCGTAACGACTAATGTAGTTAGCATACGCTTGAGTAAGTACTCTTTTTGCCTCCAAGCAGTCTCTATCGTACCAAGGCTTTGACTTTAGCTTGTGAGGGGTGGGGGCTCTCTGACCTGCCTCCTGGAACAGGAGGGGAGCAAAATTCTTAATGAGACCATCGTATAGTTTCAGAGGATCCTCGTTTAGCCTTGCATGTAAAAAAGCGGCAGCATACTTCTGAATATCTTCAGCTGCCAGAGTTACCTTTAAATTGTTAGCTAACTCGCTGGACCACTTGACAGAACGTCTTTGATGTACCGGCCCTCCCCTTTGGGAAGAGTAACAGGTTACATGTCCTATCACCTGCGGGGTGGCCCATATCTGCAAAGAAAGGGGGAGATGGTCTCCGTCCAAATATGGCAGGATTTTAAAACTTTTTACTTTGGGTAACAAGGATGTGCATACTAGATGATAATCTAGTGTACTAGCAGCCACTCCTGACATATAAGTAAAACCTCCAGGGTAGTCGTCTGGAGTGGACATAATTTTGTATCATGTTGTCCCTTTTCTAAACTGAAAAGTCCCAGACTCTTCAGCCTTTCCTCATAGGGAAACCCCTAATCATCTTGGTCACCCTCCTCTGCATTTTCCCCAGCTCTGCAATGTTCTTTGTGAGATACGGTGACCAAATATGGTGGCCAGTATTTCAAATAAGGCCTCACTATTGATCTTTATAGGGGCATTATATAAATATTGGCTGTTTTGTGTCCAGTCCCTTTCCTAACAATCCCTAAAATGAAGTTTGCCCTTTTCACTTCTGCAGCACGCTGGGTTGACACTTTCATTGAGATATTGTCACGACAGAGCCAGAGGACCGGGCAGAGAGGGAGAGTCTACAGTTCAGTCCGTGAGTCAAAGCCAGAAAGAGCAAAAACAAGCAGAGCCAGCATCCCAGTACACAAAGCCAAGCCGTAGTCAGAGCGTTACCAAGGGTCAGAGTCTAGAGAAGCGAGTGTGCAGAGCCGAGGATCAAGAGCCAGAGAGTTGTCAAAATGCGGACTGGATCCAGGAACCGGGAAGTCAGTCAGTACGGGATCTCAGGAACAGCGTCAGAGGTGCAGAGCTTCTGGTCCGAAGGACTAGTTTGCCAGCACGCTTTGCCAGCAGTCAGTGCCCTGTTCAAATAGCTTTGCCAGCAGTCAGTGCCCTGTTCAAATAGCGTGCTGGGTCGTTAACTCATTAGCACTGCCTTGCGAAGTCCTTGATTCTGTTAGAACTCCGGGCTCATTGTTCTCCTACCAAGCAAGCGTCTGGTTGCCAAGTCCCGCCGTCTCTGATTCCTCAGCCGGTGGACAAATCAGGTGGCGTACTGCTGGGGCCAGGCACTGCCTGATCGGCTTCAGGTGCAAGCCGTCCTGGGGTTTGGTATTCATCCTCTCCGGCACTTAGGTTTGGCAAGGACTCTCGTGCCTCTGATGATGTTAGAGGCACGGAGTCCTCCGTTTCAGAGCTCCCAGGTGCCGGATCGGGGGCAGGCATGACAGATATCCACTACAATCCCAAGATCTTTCCCCCTCTCAGTCTCCGCAAGTTCAAACCCCATTAGCCTAGACTTGAAGTTGGGATTTTTTTTGGTCACCTTACACTTACCAACACTGAACCTCGTTTGCCACATTGTCGCCTACTCACCCAATCTGTGGTACCGGACCTCGTGGGGACGCCACGGCTGAATTCCCTCCATCGTGAGAATTGTCCATTGATTCCTTCTCTTTGCTTCCTGTCCTTTAGCCAGTTTTTAGTCCATAAAAAGACCCGTCCTCTTATCCCATGATTGCTCCCTGGTCCCTGCTGCCCTGTTTGCGTTTATATCCCAGTCGGGGACCGGCGTTCCCATAGGTATCCCCTTGATTGTGGGGTACCACAGGGAGCAGTGTTGTCCCCGATGCTATTTAACATCTATATGCGCCCCCTTGCCCAGATTGCCCGGAGCTATGGGCTTGGGTGTCATCGATATGCTGATGACACCCAGCTCTATCTAATGCTGGGTGGCCGGTCAGACTCGAGTCCCGATGACCTTCATCGGGCATTAGAAGCTGTGGCTGGTTGGCTCCGGCTGAGCCGATTGAAACTAAACCCGGTGAAGATGGAGGTCCTGGGCCTGAGTTGGGCCAGTGCAGGGTTGGGGCTCCCTCTCCCGACCTTCGACGAGGCGCCTTTGGTGCCATCGTCCGGGGTTCGGAGTTTGGGGGTGCTCCTGGACTCCTCACTAACAATGGAGGCCCAGGTTGCAGCCACTGCCAAGTCGGCCTTTTACCATCTTCGGCGGCCACGGCAGTTGGTCCCCTACCTTAACCGCGATGACCTGGCCACAGTGATCCATGTGACGGTCACCTCGAGGCTAGACTACTGCAACACTCTCTACATGGGGCTGCCTTTGTCGCAAATCCGGAAGCTGCAGGTGGTGCAGAATGCTGCAGCCAGGCTGTTGATGGGTCTCTCTAGAAGGGATCACATTCAGCCTGTGCTGAAAGCGCTGTACTGGCTGCCGATAGCGTACCAGGTCCGCTTCAAAGTGCTGGTTCTTACCTATAAAGCCCTATATGGCCAGGGTCCAGCCTACCTGAGGGACCGCCTTTCCCCATACGTTCCCCCAAGAGCACTACGGCCGGGGGCCCAAAATCTGTTGGTCATCCCGGGCCCCAAGGACACCAAACTAGCTGCGACCAGGGCCAGGGCCTTTTCGGTGGCGGCTCCTACCTGGTGGAATGAGCCCCCCGGGGGCGATCCGGGCCCTGCGGGACCTCATGCAGTTCCGCAGGGCCTGCAAGACGGGGCTCTTCCGCCAGGCCTTTGAGTAGGTGCCGCCTCCCCTACTATGCCATCACCATCATGGTTGACCTGAGGAAGCACTTGGATAGTGCAAAGAAGATCTAAGCCGTTCTCCTGTGGGCGCAAACGGCATGGGAAGTACCACCTGGAACTGTATCGATGCCCTCTTTGGACCTACGATATCAGAAGTTTGAGCACCGTTGTTTTTAAGTATTGGATGTTTTAATGGATTATATGTTTTAAGTTACTATGTATATTATGTTTTAATTATGGCATGGTTTACCTTGCCCTTGTTAGCCGCCCAGAGCCCATTGGAGAGGGCGGGGTATAAATGTGAAAAATAAATAAATAAACAAATAAACAGTGTCTGGTACCTGAAGTAGATGACCATCCAGGCAGCAGAAAGGTTTTGCCTGCCCTCTGCGCTGCCAGAGCACAGGTGACCCCTGGACTTTCCAAACCCTCTACCAGGTCATTTGTTTATTTTTATATATGTATTTAAAATATTTTTATTTTGGCTTTCTACTCAGTGAAGGACCTCAAGGCAGTGCATGCATCACTAATCCAACCTATGCAACTAATTTCCAAGCACCCTTTTGAATTCATTGGAAAATCTAAATAGCCTTTGCAATACAGCTCTGTCCTGGTTTACCAAGCAGTCAAAGCCAGAGAATGTCACATTCTCCATGATGTGATTACAGAAATGCTTGCTGCTTCAAGTATGCCTATTTTGTAGTACTGCTGATTATTGCTATTGTTATTGGTCCTTCCTTCATAGATAATGGACTGATTTTCGACGTGGTCATGTTCTTTATAATGTGTTGGGAAGGAACAGACTTTTAAGCCCCTCCTGTCTGTTTCTTCTGGGTGGCCTCCAGGAGGTCAGAAGAACCTTGTGGCCACCCCAAGTCTCTGCTTGGCACCCCCCTTCCCCCTCACCCCCCCCCAGTTAAGCCTTGCTGCCCCCAGCAGCTCTGAGAACATTTCCAGCACCCCCCGTGCCTGCGCTGCCATTCAGAGGCTCTGCGTGGTTTCTGCGACGGCTGCCTTTGCTCATGGGCACTAGGGCAGGCAGGAGGGGATCGGCTGGATGTTCACACTCCTTGAGCTCTTGTGCTCCAGGGGCGGCAGGCTCACCTGCTGCTCCTCCCCATTGCAGCTCTTCAGGTAATCACTCCAGGTAGATGTATCTGACCAAGGGAGCGTTGACTCTTGGAAGCCGCTTTGGTCGGTCTCTGAGGTGCTCTTGGACCCAGACCGAGCCAGCCCGTGGGGGAGGAGGCGTGGTGGTGGTGCGTTTCCAGGAATCCGCCCGTGAGCACATTCCGAAGGGGTCGGCATGCAGCCCTCCTTTCCCCCTGTACTTGGAACTTATCCCGGAAGACGTTTGCGTGTGGGACACGCTCGTTATCATCTTGAAGTGGCATCAGATAGAAGCTCGGCATTAATGTGGTTCTCTGGATTGAGTCTTCCCCCCGTTATTCCTGCCCGGGCGGACAAAACAGAGTCCTGAGGTGTGACGCTTAGTCCTTCATAGCTTGTACTTCCTGGCCAGAAGCTAGAAACAAAAGAGTGTTTTCATTCACGCAAAACATTTCTATGCTGTCTTTCCATCCAAACAAGGTCCCCCAAGTGGCAGGCATCTAAGCATTGAAACACTCAACATTAAATTTAAAATAAAGAGTGTGTGTGTGTGTGTGTTGTTTTATAAACGCACCATCAGAATATGAAGGAGGATGGCCGGTAACCGTTATTATGGGGGATGCCAAACAAAACAAGACAGTCTTCATCACCAGAAGCACTTCTGTTTTGTTGCGATTAAGGTAACCCTCATCCCTTCCAAAAGTTCCTCTGGGTACCTGTTCACAATTCCTGTTACGCATAAATGCTGTTATTAATGTTACAAAAAAGCCCTACCTTTAACCACAGGAAGGCAATGCCAAGCAGAGCAAAAAGTGAGGAAGGGAATGCCGAGCGGAACAAAAACGTTTTTAACCCTTGGCAGAAGATAATGATGGAGGGCAACACTGAATTGTCCTGGGGAGGGAATTCCACTGTTTTGGTGCTACAGCCAAGAAGGCCCTTTCTCAGTTTTGCTGCTCATACAGCCTCAGAGGAAGGGGGCACACCCCCCCCCGGGCGGGGTCCCCAAAGCTTGGCAGGTGGCTTCAGAGGGGAGTAGGCAGCCTTTTAAGGTATGCTGATCCCAAGCTGTGTAAGGCTTCAAATTCCAATATCAGCTCCCTGAATTGGGCCCAGAAGCAAATCGGGAGCCAGTGTAGATGAAACAAGGCCGGTCAGTCAGCATCCTTACTGTAGCGTTGGACACTGAGCGTTGTGTCCGGACACTCTGCAAGAGTAGCCCTGCGTCAACTGTGTGATAGTAGTCTGGGTGCTACCAGGCCGTGGTTGCAGCTGGCCCACCAGCCAAAGGCCGCTGTGAAAGGCGCTTTTGGCCACTGCTGCCACCTGTTTACCCAGCGGGAGGCCAGGTCACCAGCTTGGGGAAGGAAGGAAGCCAGGGCAGGGGTTGGCCCAAGGAAGGCGGGGTGGGGTGGGTGGGGGGCAGCTGCCGCAGCATCCCAAGGCAGAGAGGTGCTTGTCGGCGGTGTGTGCCGGCTCGACTCTGGGTCTGTCCCCACAGTAAAGCGTGGGAGGGGCTGTGTGTGTGTCTCAATCGCTGGAGGAGCTCTGACTGGTGTGATGTTCTCAGGCAGGAATGTGTGGAGCAGCTGCTGAAGAACATGTTCGACGGGGAGCAGACGGAAAGCTGCCTGGTGAACGGCACTCAGGTGTTACTGACGCTGCTTGAGCCAAGACGTGCTGGGTAAGGAGGACTGGCTTTGTCAAAGTCATGGCTGTACTTCAGATGTTGTGTGTGTGTCTCTGTGTGTGTGTGTGTGTGTGTAAACTATCGTACCACGTTTCCCTAAAGTCATCTCTGGCCCACCTCAGACATGCCCCTCATGGGCCCTTCTGCAAGGAAGCAGCCCGGTGGGGTGAGCCTTTGGCCATGCACTTGATGGAGATCTCTGTCTCTCTCTGTCTCTCTACCTCTCTCTCTCTCTCTCTCTCACTCACTCACTCACACACACACACACTCTTACACACGGAATGAACGAGTGAAGCTTGTTCCACGTGCAGCCTTCAGAGGGCCCAAGTGAGGACATGCGCAGATCAGGTGGCAGGGCTCCCACACCTGGCTGGAGGTGGACCTCAGGAGGACAAGCTTCCACTGCTCCTTTCTGTTAGGCCCAAACACTTTCTTTGGGCCCAAACACTTGAAAGGGCACAGTACAGATAAGACTCAGTCGTGAATGGGTAGGGCGCCTCACCATGGCCTTTCTCTTCTCCTCTACCAGGGTCCCAGCAGGGACAGGGTGTGTGTGCGTGTGTGTGTGTGTACAGCTGACTCCCACCCCACCCCAGGGCCTTGGGGGCAGTCTGGCCCAGTGAGAGAACTGTGCAGCAGCGGCAGCAGCCTCTCGCCTGCCAAGGTCCTGTCAGGAACAGCGAGTGCGTAGCTGGCCTTCCCCTGCCCTGAAGCCTTGTGAGATCTTGAAAGAAGCCATTGTGGAGTCTCACCTCGCCTACTCCGAGCTTTCCCCTGCTGGCTCCTCGGCCTGGGAGAGCAGTAATGGGCTGCCGCCATTAATGGCCTTTCTCCGGGCCAGTCCCCACCTTCCTACACCGTGCGGAAGCCTCAGTGCAAGGCTCCAGCGCCCCTTTCCCGATCCAAGGTCTTGGCCCCCGCCTGTTCCAGGGATCCTTTGGGGCTGGCAGGGCCCTTGGCAGCGCCTGCACCTTGCAGCTCTTCTGCTGCTGTCACTGAGCTGGGTGAGTTTGGGGCACCCACAGAGAAAGCCCCTTTTCCCTTTTCAGGTGTGCCTGGCTCTGTTTCTAAGCTGCTCAGTGGTAGGGGTCCCCCCCCCCGTTCTGTGCGCTTTCTGTGGCTTACAGCTGGTTTTATTTCTGCTCCGTCGCTTAGTATTCTGGTCATGTTTTTAAATTTCAGAAGCCATGTGTGTTATAAGAAAAGAAAAAGAGCAGGATATGACTATTTCACTGTGCTCAGTTGTGAGAGCAGAGCTAAGTGAGGCCCCTGCTCTTGATTTCACTCCCTGTAGGCCTGTTGGTAGCCCTCTCCTGTCTCCCCTGCAGTGGTATTTGATTTCACGAGAGCTTTCTCCAGTACAGGCATTTCCCACTCTGCTGTAAACCTCGATGGGTGGATTTGGGGGGAGGATGTTCTAAACAAGCGGTACTTTTCATGCTCTCTCAGCTGCAGCTTCCTCCTGGGCTTGTTGTGAGGGCAGAACGAGGCAGGGAGAAGTCTGTACGCTGCCCCGAGAGCTCCTTGGGAGGAGCGGGGATGGGCACGAAACGCTCTCGCCAGCTCCTGGGCTGCGGCTGCAGAGATCACGTGTTTTGTAAGGCAGTGACTTGTGTGGGGCCGGTCTGGGCCTAGAGCCAGGGAGGTGTAGGCCTGGCTTGGCTCAGCGGCTGACCAGAGTTTCCCTCTCTGCGTGCAGGATGGAGGGGCTCATGGACGCTGCCTCTCAGGGGGCCGCCGAGAGGCCTTCTTCTTACGCTGTCAGCAGCAGCATCTTGTGTGGCATCGAGTCCCGGCTGAAGGACTTCCACCATCTTCTGCTCAGTCCCCCTAAGGTAGGGGGCTTTCCACCTCTCGCTGCTGGGCTCCAGGCTCTCCTGCCTTGGCGAATGCTTCCCTGTGGGAGGGATGGCGGAGGGGGTGGGGGAGGTGGATGTCTGCCTCCGGCCTATAGGGCTGTGCTGGGGGGTGACTGGGTGGCTCTGGAGGTCGGGAGGCTGCTTTGCTTTGGGTGGGACGGGGAGAGTCTCCCACCTGTGGCAGAAAAGGTGCAGGATGAAGGAGTCTCTCACAGTTTACAAAAGCGTCTCCGTCATGTGGAGATTTGGAATCCTGAAATGGGCCCCGTGTGGATAGACGGCACCTTCTCCACCCCACCCCCCCGCTGTGTTTGTGTTTCCCCTGCCTTGAGCCAACTCTCTGAGGAAAGGGCCAGTTGGGTTTCTGTGCAGGCGGATTCCTCCTTCCAGTACGCCCACGTTGTGGCTCACGGGTGCCTGATATGAGTCCTGGTCGGGAGTGGGGTGAATGTGTGAGCTCTGTGCTTGAGCACAGCATCGCTCTGGCCTGGAGCCCCCCTGAAAAGGCGTTTGTTTTCTGCCCGTGACAGAGGAGCTCCATCCTGACTACCATTGGGGTCCTGGAAGAGCCGCTGGGCAATGCCCGTCTTCACGGGGCACGCCTGATCGCTGCCCTTCTCCACACAAACACCGCTGCCATCAACCAGGAGCTGTGTCGCCTGAGCACCATGGACCTGCTGCTGGTGAGTCATCATGGGCTCGAAGAGAAGCCATCTTCTGCTGACGTCTGTTTGCCTTCAGCCCTTGCTCCTGTCAGGCAAATGTGAAATCCTCCCTGTTTGTTTCCAGAAAAATCCATGTGAATGGAAAATAACCCTTTCATGCTGGAAGGTTTGCTGGACCTCTAGGACAACTATTTGGGCCCTTGTGTGACCTGAGATGCTGGATGAGATGGTCCACTGGGCTGATCCAGCAGGGCTCTTCTTTTGTTCCTATGAAGGCCTCAGCCTTTGTGTCCTAATGTTGGCTCTCCAGAGGAACTGGCTGGCCACTGTGTAAGGCGGGATGCTGGACGAGAGGGACCCTCACTGGCCTGTTCCAGCAAGGCTCTTCTGATGTTCTTATTAGGGGAAGGCCTCAGTCTCTATGCCCTATTGTTAGCCCTCCAGAGGAACTGATTGATCCCTGTGTAAGACAGGATGCTGGACGAGATGGACCCTCACCGGTCAGATCTAGATTGGTTCTTCTGATGTTCTTAAGGGTCTGAGTCTGTCCTGAGTGAACTTAATTCTCTCCTTCATTTCCAGGACTTGTTTTTTAAATACACTTGGAATAACTTTTTGCACTTCCAAGTGGAATTGTGCATAGCCGTTATTCTGGCTCACTCTGCCAACGAAAGCAATGCAGCCACAAAAGAGACAGAGAATAAGGAGGGACTGGATGAGTGCGCGGCCTCAGAGAATGTGGAAACATCAGACAGCCATCCGGAAAACATCATGGTGACGCATGTAAGGAACTTTATGTTGTTTCATCAGAGGAGTAGTGTTAGGTGGGTTTTCTGGGGAACACGATCTGCCCTGTCTGGGAGAGCCATTAGAAGGTGCTTGTCGCAAGGTTTTTCGTCATTCCGTGCAAGGCACCTCCCCCCCAATCCTAGTTCCCAAACAGCACAGCATGGGCTCATGGGAAATGGTACGCGCTTTTATTTGAAGATTTAGCATTGTTACGCGTGTTGACACCCTTCATTCCCCAGACTTAAAGATGGGTGTGAGTGAGTGTGTAGGGTGTGTGTGTGGCCAGGTGGCCTGGCCTGCAGTTCCGGCAGCGAGACTTCGGTGCCGTAGGAGCAGCTGCTTTGAGAAACGCCATTGGGGAAAAGTTGTCCTTATCCCACCCTCTCTGTATCCCACCTGTTTTGCCCCGGGGTTCCGAGGGGTCCCTTAGCCAGCTGGAGGCCTCTGGCTTCCACAGGCGTACTCTAGGGTCTCTCACGTGCCTTCAGGTCAGACCTGCGACCATGCTCAGATTAACCAGAGTTTTAAGAGGAACGTAGGGATTCACGTTACAGAGCACACGCCAATACAGTTGATGGGAAATGGTAAAAATGGTGTGTTCTGAGTTGTAGGTGGATCTGGAATTCTAGCAGTATCTTGCAGTTCCTCTCCAAAAGGTGCAGTCCACGTTCTCCACCAGTGGAGGAGGGTATCCTTGGGGTGGGCGGTGCCTCCCACCTGCTGTGCTGCAGTTGAGGCTCATGCAGGTCTTCTTTACAGGGCTTCCACGTCCTGTTGGAGGCAGACCCTCCGTCCACGTGCCCAGCAGGGCTCTTAGGTTATCACACGCCACCAGCAGGCCAATGACGTCCCAGCCTCCAGGTGCCTCCATCTCGTTTCAGAAGAACCAGTGCCTTGAGGCCGCGGTCAGGTGGCGAAGGCACCCACAGGCTGTACCCGAATCCAGACAAGTCAAGAGGGGAAGAGGGACTGGACCCTCGTGGTGTCCAGGGTTGAGGGGAGAGTCGGCTTTTGCAGAGCAGGACACGAGCGGCTGCTGCTCCCCCCCCCCTTTTTCCATGGCTCTCGGTCTGCTGTTTGAAAAGTGGGATGCCCCAGCAGGGAACCAAAAGCACCTTCTGGCAACCGAGTCTGATTTGCCGACTCGACTGATCTTGCCGCACAGATTCATGCTGTCGTAACCTCATGTTTGGACTAAGGTGTAACAGTGCTCTCCGTGAAGCTGCCCTTGAAAAGCCAGCCTGCAAACTGCAGCTGGTCCAGAAGGCGGAGTCCCCTTTACGGTCAGGGGCTGGCCAATGGGGACATGTTTTGCCCATTTTGAAACAGTTCACTGGCTGCCAGCTTGATTCAGTTCAAGGGGCGGGTGATGGCATTTAAGCCATTTCCTCCCGTTTATTTGCATGCACCAAATGCGGCCTTCTCCACCACCTAGGATGGCTCCCCTGGCACCCATTAGAGCCCCCAGGCCTTTCCCATTGCAGCCCCCCCAGGCTGTGGAATGCACTCCCTGAAGAGGTGAGGGGGCACTTCCCTTTGAGGTTCTGCGAGGGTTTGTGTTTGCAAGGTTGCAATTACCCGTAGGCTGCCTCAAGCGGAGAGGGAAGGCAGGGTGTATACATACTTTAATACCTAGATAAACACTGCCACTTTTCTCCTCACGGGCTGGCCTTCTTCACCTCAGGATCCAGGTGTGGGTGTGTAGCCAGCCCTGGGTGACTTTCCCATCAGGTCCCTCTCAGGATCCAGAGCCTCATCGGTGTGCAGAAGATTCCCCCCTCAGAAGGCGGTGTCCTTTGACAAGCCTTCATCCATTCCAGGAAAGGGTTGCCAGCCGGGTGGTGGCTCCACCAGGACACACCGGTGTGCCAGTGGGTTTTTCCCTTTCCAGAACCATCCTCAGGGGCGGAGTCTCCTTGGGTGAGGAGCCCGCTGCCTCCATCAGGTCACCCTGAGCAAAGGGAGTGACTCCGAGACTGAGCCAAGCATCAGCTGGCCATCTGCCTCGCCCTCTCCCTCCCTCCTCCACCCTCTCGTCCTCGCGGGCCGTGCAACTGTAAAGGCCCACATAGATCGGCAGAGAGTTGTAGGAAGGAGGCCGCTGTGCTGCAGGGGTGAGCAGAGGGTCGCTTGGCAAGGTCCAGTCGTGCTTCCGGCCGGTAGAAGGAGCCCCCTCCACCCCCACCAGTGCTGCTGTCATGACTTCCTTCTCCCCTGCGGTTCAGGGCTCCCGCAGCAGCCTTTTTTCTCTCCCTGTGGAGGAGGAGGAGGAGGAGGCACATGCTGCACGCATGCACCTCTGCTGCTGGGGATGGGGAAACGATGGCACAGCACCCCCCTTTCCCCCTCCGCCTTCCCTCCTGCTCCTTCACACGCACACCCTCCTTGCTCTGAGCAGGAAAGGAAAAGGCTGCCGGACTCCCCTCACCCTGCACCAAAGCTGCCATTTCCTTCTTCCAGGGAAACTGTAGAGCTGGGGGGGGGGATTACAGTTTGGGGGGGGGGCTGGCTTTGGCGAAACAGTAGAGGGAAGGTTTCCCCACCTGAGCACTGCAGACCGGCTTTGAAACACTCCAGTGTTTGGGAATGCTGCTGGCTCTGCCCACCACGGCATCATTTTGCGGCTGGTAGTTCCCGAGGCACTTGAAGAAACCAAGTGTAGCTCTCCCAGAAGTGTAATGTCTGCACATCCCTGCACGTCTGCAGTTTTAGGTGGAAGCCTGGATGAATCACAAGCGGGAATTAAGATTGCTGGGGAAAAGATAAACAACCTCAGATATGCAGACGATCCCACTCTAATGGCAGAAAGGGAAGAGGACCTAAAGAGCCTCTTGCTCGGGGTGAAAGAGGAGAGCGCAAAAGTGAGCTTGAAGCTCAACATCAAAAAAACTAAGATCATGGCATCCGGCCCCATCACTCCTTGGCAAATAGAAGGGGAAGTCGTCGAAGTAGTGACAGACTTCACGTTCCTGGGATCCCAAATCACTGCAGACTGTGACAGCAGCCATGAAATTAAAAGACGCCTGCTCCTCGGGAGGAACATTTTGCAACCGATCAAACGTGGCCGTCAGAATCAGTTGCTATAACAGTTCCAAAGCCAAGTCCGCCCGCGGTGGGTCCGGAGGTGCCCCAGTCTTTCCAGGCGAATGTCCCTGTGAATCCCGAGTCCAGCCCAGAGTCTGGTCGTGCTGGCTTTTTGGACCCTGCAACTGAACTTGCCTGAGAACCCTCCCCTGGCAATGCTGTTGCTGACCCTGCTGCCGTTTTGCCCGTGGAGTACCTCCACCGGTTGTGGGGAGCAGCACCTGCTTCTGATGAAACGTGTCCCCTCAGAGGCGGAGGTGGCCTGCTTGGTCTCACCGGCTGCAGAGCCATGTAGAAAGGGTCCACCAGCCCAGCCCTGTGGCCTTCCCCCCCGTTACGATCGGCCTGCTTCTCGTCACTTCTGGCTCCTAGCTCTACCTTTTCTTGGTTCCAGCTCCTGTCCGAAATACAGAGAATCTCTACAGGACTAAGCAGGAAGGCTGTTAGTTTTTGTTTAACCCTATTCTGTCCTCATTCCACTGTTGCAGAGGTGTCCGCATGCCCCTTTGCCGGGCCAGGCCGTGTGTGCCATAAAATGTAATGCCAGTATGGGAGATATAAACTTTATAAGGGACACAGGCAAACTCAATTTTCAATATTATTTTTTACTCAAAATACAAGCGTGCTTAAAACATTGAAACTCTTATAGTGTTTCCTTACAGTAGCTCCCTGATGCCCACCCTCCCACTTCCCCCGCCCATGACACATTAGCGCTGGATGGGGGCGTAATGCACAGCCTCTGTCCGTCTGGCAGCAAAGGTAATCTGTTGCTTGTGGGCTGGATGGGAGCCCTGGATGGGCTGCTCCCCGCCTGTGGGCCGTATGTTTGACTCCTCTGCTCTACAGGGCCCATATAGGAGCTCCCAAAATACAGTTCCTATTTACAAGAAGGGTCATAAAACAGATTGATAAGGCAGAAAGGTTTCCATCTCATTGTCATTTAAGCTTACCAACTACCAAGCAATTATGGGGCACTGTCAACTTTTTGTGGAAGAAACTGGGCCCATGAGAAGAGAAGAGATTGGATTTATACCCCGCCCTTCACTACCGAAAGGGTGTCTCAGAGCAGCTTACAGTCTCCTTTCCCTTCCCCTCCCCACCACAGACACCCTCTGTGAGGGAGGCGGGGCTGAGAGAGCTCTGACAGAAACTGTTCTTTTTTTCAAGAACAGCCCTTATCAGAACTACGGCTTGCCCAAGGTCACGCCAGCCAGGTGCAAGTGGAGGAGGAGTGGGGAATCAAACCCGGTTCTCCCAGATTAGAGTCCGCCTGCATTTAACCGCGACACCGAACTGGCTCTGGGTATTTTTAAAGAATCCAGTTAGAATCCTCACAGGTTATCTCGGTGCCCATTTGGTGCTGCAGAACGTGTGACAGACGGTGCTTCCTGCAGTCTGGTGAGTCCCATTGTGTTGCATGGCCATGGCCACGTGCGGCTCACTAAAGCATGCCTCCTCACGGTACAAGACCCCGAGTGGAAGACCTCTCCTTTGAGGGTTTGGAGCTTTTCAGCTCCACGGTAGATGAGGCTCTGGAGAAGATCTGAAGAAGTGGGGGGGGGGGGAGGGACGGCGAGGTTCCCGAAGGCTAAACAATACTCCAGGTCTCCATACCCCTTCCTGTAGGGGTCAGAGAGAGATCAGCCCAGAATGAGTTTCCAGTTTCCGTACAGCCGCCCCACCAAGCCTCTTGTCACTCCCTGCCAAGGAGGTGATTTTGATCATCACCTGGCCAGAAGATGACCTCGGTGCCAGTCTCCAAAAGCCCTTCTGTTTTCTCAAAAGCAAAGTTTTGGACTGCCACCCTCTGCCCTTCCTGGGTCACCGTTGCCCTGTCCCTACAGGGGAGACCGATGGATTTACTAAGAACGGGGGATGGTGTGGGTGGGGTTGTGGGTGGGGGTGTGTAGAGGAGAGAGCTACTATAGTGTTTCTGTCTCAATGCTCATCTCCCATCCTCTTCATCCAAACCCTGCCGCAAACGTCCAGGCCATCTCTCACTCCGTTGACTGGAACACGGGTAGCCCTCCTGAGCACCTCAGCCTCCCACTTGGTTGATTTATTGGTTTATTTTTGGCTTTTTGCACCGTTGCCCCCCTTCCTCACCTGCTCTCTGGGAGCCCCACAAGCACGGCGTGGCGGAGCGGGCGAAGGCATCCGGGCCCAGCCTGGCTTCACCACCTTGGCCAGCTGAGCCGTTGGCCCCTGAAGCCTCCCACGGGAGGAGGCGGAGAAGAAGCAGGGCCCCACTGACCCTCCTGCCTGATTCTCTTGGGGCCACCTTTGCTTCCTCTGAAGGCGCTGGTGTCAGGAAGCCTCCCCCCCCCCCCCCCACCCCACACACCCCCCACCGCGCGGACCTGCCCCGTTACCCTTTCCTTGCAAGCCCCCACCCACCCCACCCACGCTGTGGACGATGGCGTGCTTCTGTCTCCCTCACAAGACATGACTGAGAACAGGCTGCTGGTGCTGCTGGTGCTTTAAGCAACCCGGGGAGAGAGAGGTCCCTCTGTGAAAATGGAAGGAGAGCCGGTGTCGTCTCCCTAGCGGTCCCGGGAGAGGCCGTGGAAGTGTCCCCTGTTTCGTATTGGAGGGTTTATGTGGAGGCACAGCTGGCCTTGAAAGTCCCGGTGGGCTGGAGCCCTGGCTTTTCTCCCACCACACACCCAGCCACGTGTTCCGTGGCACCACTGCGGCTAAGCGCCATGTAGCAGTGCTGGGTAGCGTACGCTAGACCCTGCAGGCGGCAAGGGCCAAGGGGGGAGCGGCTGTCGTAAGAGAAGGAGCCGTGTCAAGTCACGGGATCCCGCCCCCCCCCCGGCCCCTCCTCTCTCAGACCTCCCAGCTTCCCTGTCCTGTGTCTGTTGCTAGGCGCTTCCTTTGCCAGTTGGCGACTTGAATGCTGTTTCACAAGGGAGGGGGACGCTCTTGATAGTCAAGGCTGCCCCAGATTCTGTCCTGGTCTGGTCGCGTGAGCATGCTGTGCCGATCATGGATCTTGTGCTCCTCTCCCCCCTCTAGTTATTCCAGACATGCTGCCTGGTGCAAAGGATCCTGGATGCCTGGGAGGCAAACGACAAAATACAGTAAGGCGCTTTCTGCTTGCGCGGCGGCGGCTCCGGCCCTGAACCTTTTAACGTGTGTGTCCCCTTGTCCATACCCGGGTGTGGCTGTGCCGAGGCAAGGGCCCGCGTGGTGTGCGAGAGCAGCTCCCCGACGGCCCCCTGGGCCGCCCCCCGGCCCCCCGGCCCAATTCCTCTGTATGTGTGCGTCACAGAGTTTCCTCGCAAACATCCTCCATTTCCTTGCTCGGTGTTTTCTTTTCTTTTAGTGGGAATGGACTACAAAAGGGGGAATTAGGTAGCAGGAGGAAGGCAGGTTTGCAGTGGGCAATATACGGTTATGGATTAGTAGGTCATAAATGTTGTTTAAATCAGTGGTTTATTTTCAGAATAAATCCATCAGAGTATTGTTAGAATATTATTTTCAGAATAAATCCATCAGAGTATTGTTAGAATATTATTTTCAGAATAAAACCATCATCCCCAGAAGGAATGGGCAAAAAAGCTCTCGGTGCCCCTGGAGGCTGACTGGCCCACAAGTAGAAGGCTGAATGGCTGCTCAGTGTGGGCCGGAAGGATGAACTAGTAAGCCTAACCCTCCTACCACTTACCGCAGTGAGGTTTTCTTCTTTTTTCAAACGGATATTTCCCACTGTGTGTACCAAGTCCACGTGGAGTGTGATAATCCACTGGGCCAGTTTGAAAGTCGCACATCCAACACGATGGAGTCTGGGCTGTTTCCTGCCCTCTGAGTCCAGCTGGTCCAGCATCATCCAGTTTGTCCCAGTGGTCAGCCATTCTCTTTCAGAAAGCCACAGGCAGGGTATGAAGACCTGTCCTTCCCAGTCCTTTGCCACCCAGCAGCTGTCATTCAGTGGCTGTGGCCTCCTCTGAACCTGGAGGCTCTAGTGCCCATTGAGGCACCAGTGCCGTTGGAAAGCAGGCTGTCACTGGTTTGTGAACTGGTGCAGCAGATCAGTACTGTGGGTTGTCTGCTCCCATGTTCATTGGCCATCAGCTCAGTTCGATGATCTCATGGTCTGCTATCTTAGGGAAAGCGAGGGAAAAGTTTTCCTTACTCCACTCTTGAATTGTAGGGGAATGGTGCAGGCTAAATTATGGGGTTATTAGCCCTCCAAAGGGGTAGGGTTGGGGTTAGGGCTACTGTTCATCCTTCCGGCCCACACTGAGCAGCCAGTCAGCCTTCTTGTGGGCCAGTCAGCCTCCAGGGGCACCGAGAGCCTGGCCTTGGCTCTCACTCTCAACCCCCACCGCACAGCAAGATCACTAGTTGTCAGATCCCAGTTAAGACACACTCCACAACACTTTTGGCAGTGATGCTTTATTAGAGATATGCTTACTACAGGAACTGGATCTTTGTCAGGACTGAAGAAAGCACACGAAATTCAGAGGTTATAGGTAACATCCAGTGCACCCCACACACCCCATTCATAGGTCAGCATTCGGCCCCTAGCGTTACTGTGACAACCCTGACAGATATACGGCGTCCCATCTATTCTAGCCTGGCAAAAGAGTCTCCAAGGCCAAATCCCATGAGAACAGTCTGAGGGGGTGCAGCTTGAGAAATGGCTATGGCTACTACAGGCTAGCACTCAACCCAAACACGCACTCTCCCCCCCCCTCAGGAATTCCCCCCCCCAATACATGGCAAGGTAAGCAGTGAAGCAGAACAAAGAGGAAACCAAAACCTTGACCCTAGTAGCCCTTGGAGGGAGGGTGGTAGAGCAGGGGTGTCAAACTCGTTTGTTACGAGGGCCGGATCTGACATAAATGTCACTTTGTTGGGCTGAGCCATGCGTGCCATAAAATGCAACATGAGGTACCAGAGATACAAACTTTATAAATAGCAATAGACTTGATTGAATTAGGTGTGATATTCAGAGGGGTAGTAGACATGGAGATACCAGGATTGGTAATGGAAACCTAGGTCTCAGTTCCATCCAGGAGGATGCAAAGAATAATTGGGGGAACATTTAACCTTCCAGGACATTCAGTTGCTGACCTAAGAGTAGTATTTCTCTTACAAAGGAATTTCAAAGGGAGATTAGAAAGAGAGACTGCTGAATTGCAACTGATAATGAAGGTCAATGCATTCTCCAGGACTGAATTGAGACCTAGGCTTCCTGTCTCATTAGCAATGGCATTTGGCATCTGAAATCACGCCACTCTCCAATGGATTCAAATCTAGCTGTATCTGAAGAAGTGAGCAGTGACTCACAAAAGCTCATTCTCTGCCACAGATTTTGTTAGGTGCTACTGGACTCTTGCTCCTTTCCTCTAATAAAGATTGCAAGCTGTGCTGTTAGATTTCTTTTTTCTTCTTCCTCATCTGTTTAAACCGGAGAGGAGGGTGTCTCCAGGAGAAATCATGTGTCGATTTCAGCCTGGGCAATATCAGTGCTAGTACATCAGAAGCAAAGAGGGAGAGAAGAAAGGCAGCCGGAGAGGGAGACATGTTGAACTGGAACATATGGAACCATAAATGTATTTTTAAATACTTAGCCGCCTCCTTCCAGTCATTAGGCAATGGAATCCAATCCAAGGGTTCTAATTCCTAATCAGAGTCAGATAGGCATTGAGAAATCTAATATAAAAAACCCTTTTTAGAATAAGCCAAAATAATTTCCTTTTAATTCTCCTTTAAGGGACCTCATTAATGATTTGGAGTTGGGAGTAAGCAGTGAAGTGGCTAAATTTGCGGATGATACGAAGTTGTTCAGGGTGGTGAAAACCAGTGAGGATTGTGAGGCACTCCAAAGGGATCTGTCAAAGTTGGGCGAGTGGGCGTCAACATGGCAAATGGGGTTCAATGTGGCCAAGTGCAAGGTGATGCACATTGGAGCCAAAAATCCTAACTATAAATACACGTTGATGGGGTCTGAACTGGCAGAGACAGATCAAGAGAGAGATCTTGGAGTTGTAGTAGATAACTCACTGAAAATGTCGAGACAGTGTGTGACTGCAATAAAGAAGGCCAATGCTATGCTGGGGATTATTAGGAAGGGTATTGTAAACAGATCAGCCAATATCATAATGCCGCTATATAAATCAATGGTGCGACCTCATCTGGAATACTGTGTGCAATTCTGGTCACCACACCTTAAAAAGGATATTATAGCTTTGGAAAAAGTGCAGAAAAGAGCAACTCGAATGATAAAAGGGTTGGAACACTTTCCCTATGAGGAACGGTTAAGGCGCTTAGGGCTCTTTAGCTTGGAGAAACGACGACTGAGGGGTGACATGATTGAGGTTTATAAGATTATGCATGGGAAAGAGCAGGTAGAGAAAGAGGTACTTTTCTCCCTTTCTCACAATACAAGAACCCGTGGGCACTCCATGAAATTGCTGAGCGGTCGGGTTAGAACGGATAAAAGGAAGTACTTCTTCACCCAAAGAGTGATTAACACTTGGAATTCACTGCCACAGGAAGTGGTGGCAGCTACAAGCATGGACGGCTTCAAAAGGGAATTAGATAAGCATATGGAGCTGTGTGTGTGAGAGAGACAGATACCAAGTCTCAAAGACCCACAGCAGAGCAGGGCAATCTCAGTGGAAAGTGTGCTTGGCAGAAGAACCCACCCACCCCCCCACCAAGAGAAGGAGGAGAAGAATGAAAGCTTATACCTGAAGTAAAACTCTGCTGGTCTTAAAGGGACCACGGGAGTCAGGCGTTACTTTCTCCTGCACAAGCACTCACTTTTGCTTTTGCTTTCCCTCCTCTCCCTCCCTCCCAGAGGAGAAGCGCTCAGCCAGTGGAGGGAAGGGAGACTTGCCTTGGTTCTCTCTTGCACGAAGCAGGAACCTGGTGCCTGGAAGAGGGACCTCAGCAAAAGCCAGCTGTGATGCAGTGGCGGCAGCAGCCCCAGAGAAGGAAGCAGCAGGGAGCCATTTGCTCGCGGGCCGAATCCAAGCCGTGCTGGGGCTGGCCCGCGGGCCATGGGTTTGACGCCCCTGTGACAGAGGCGGTGATTCACCTGATGATGGAGGGATTCTGATCAACGCGTTCCAGCAGAGCAGCTCCGGGGTCTTCTGGGTGACCCATGTGCCTTGACCCTTTCTGGTCACTGGTTGCGGGCAGCACGGAGATAGCATCAGTAGCTCCAGTGGGGGATCCAGTGGGGTTCAAGTAGCCAGGGCAGTGCTGATGTTCGTCCTGCTGGATTCATGCAGTTCATTTGAGACGCCTGAAATGTGGCAGGGGCACGAGACTCAGGGAATCAACATGGTTGTGGCCCTTTTCATCCGACTGCTTGCAAAAAGTGGTCATTGATGGTGAAAGTTCTACAGCAGGGGAGTTTCTCACGGAGAGTCCTGCAGGGGCACAGTGTGGTCCAGTGACGTCATTTAGCATCTGGATAAGACCACTGACTAAGATGGCCCAGAGCTCTGAAATGAGTTGTAACCGGAGATGGGAAAACCCTGAGGGGAGATGGAAAAAATTGGGAGGGGGGGATTGTGGTTTTCTTCCATTTCCACCCCCCCCCAAGGAGTTCCCCCCATTTATTCCTGTTGTTTTGGAATGAGTAAAATGAAAGACAAGGTTTTACTCAATATGTAGTATGAAAAAATAGGTAAGATGATCTGCAGCGTTAGGTAATAATTCCTGTATATTATTGAAAATGTTTTCATATTCAAGAATGTTGGTTTAAATGTAAATAATTTTGATGACAAGTAATATGCTGTGTATGCGTAATGACTCCAAACTTTCTGTGATTCCATCAGAGAGTTTCTCTCTAAATAATTCTTTTGCTGCTACAGAACTTGTTTTCTGCCCTTCAGCTTTTATTTTTCCAACCTCTCAGATGGAAAAAGTTTTAAGATCCATGTGCCGTGGTAACCTAGGCTTCCAGCCATTTTCACTAAAAGAAGTTTAGGTTTGATAGAAAATTAGGTATTGCATACGTTTCCATATCCCCCCAGATTTCCATTTTTTTCCCTTGGGGGCAAAACACAGGGGGGGAAATGCAGTTTCCGTGGCTCCAGAATTTCTGGAAAATTCACACCTCTTGTCGTCTCAATATGCTGATCACTCCTGGCTGCACACCACGTTGCATAAGCCTCCAGAAACAGCTGTCACTGTGCTTGGGGGGTGACTGTTGTCTGGACGCTGCGTGCGGTTGAATGGCTCCTGGTAAGACAGAGGTTGATGCTGGTTGGGAAGGCTGAGGTTTGGGAGCTACGCTAGCCGTCTTGAATGGTGTGGCTTTCCCACTGAGAGCTTGGGAGTTCTCTGTCTACGGAAGAAGGTATTGTTTAACATTGGAGCGTGCGCATATTCATTCATAAGACTTCCACATCTGGCTGGAGGCAGACACCCCCCCCCCCCGGTCCATGCAATGTTGCTTATGCAACTGCTTGGCAGTCGCGGTTGTAGCAGGACTGCAAGAAAGGCCTCAAATTCCCTAAGCAATGGGTGGATTCTGGAAGTGCCTTATCCTTCCAGGACAAACTGTTGCTAAGCCTGTGGAGAAGACCTGCAGGGCAGCTCAGCACTCGCCAGTGTCCGTTTCCCCTCCCCTCTGTCCTCAGCTTTCATGAAAGGCTGGCCCCGCCCTGTGCAAAACTACGCCAAATGATGTCTTCATCCTCTCCGTGTTGGGCTCTCCCCTCCCCCCCCCTTCTCGGACCTCCACAAGATCCAGTCAGCTCAGGCACTCCAATTGGTGCCGAATGCCGCAGCTCAGTTATTATCGGGCTTGGAGGAGCATGGATATTACTCCCGTCCTGCAGTCACTCCATTGGCTGCCCATCTGCTGTCAGGCTCAATGGAAGGTATTGCCTATTATTTATTTATTAAAACATTTAGAACATAAGAGAAGCCAAATGTTGGGTCAGGCCAGTGGCCCACCCAGTCCAACACTCTGTGTCACACAGTGGCCAAAAACACCAGGCACCATCAGGAGGACCAGCAGTGGGGCCAGGACACTAGGAGCCCTCCCACTGTGGCCCCCCCAAGCACCAGAAATACAGAGCATTCCTTGCCCCAGACATAAGAACATAAGAGAAGCCAAATGTTGGATCAGGCCAATGGCCCATCCAGTCCAACACTGTCACACGGTGGCCAGAAATACCAGGTGCCATCAGGAGGTCCAGCAGTGGGGCCAGGACACTAGAAGCCCTCCCACTGTGCCCCCCCAAGTACCAAGAATACAGAGCATCCCTTGCCCCAGCCTGAGAGTTCCTATCTATACCTTGTGGCTAAGAGCCAGGGATGGACCCCTGCTCCATATGCTTATCTAATTCCCTCTTGAAGCTGTCCATGTTTATACCCCACCTTTCCTCAAGGTTTATTGTGGCTTACACTAGTAGTTAAAACATCCCCAGCTAAAACAAAACAGTGAGCCCAGGATCTCTTTCCCCCCTCTTCCACCTTGAAAGATGCCTGCCGCTCAGACCCCCTCAGAACTCCTGGTGTTGTGGTCTCCTGAACATCTCTGAGGAGGAGGGCCCCCTCCCCTCTTCAGGGAGCCCCTCCCACAGAGCCAGGGCTGTGAGGGTGGTAAAGGTGGATGCCAGACAGGCCCCCTTGTGGTGGGGTAGGCAACAGCTGGCTGCCTGGTTATCGCAGCTGGCACACGTGGAAGGAGGCGGTCCTTCAGATATCTGGGTCTGAGGTTGTGAAGGGCTTTCCAGGTCCTAACCGGCACCTTGAATTGAAATGGAAAGCAGACTGGCAGCCAGTGTGGCTGTTTCAAAATGGGCAGTCTATGTTCCCAGCAGCTGGCCCCTGACCGCAGTCGAGCGGCTGTGTTCTGGACCCATTGTGGTTTCCTGGTTGTCTTCAAGGGCAGCCCCACGCAGAGCGCGTTGTGGTGATCCAGCTGTGAGGTTACAGAAACATTGATCAGCGTGGCCAGATCAGTCCTGCCCTGGATAGCCCCGGCAAGCCCCATTTCCTCAGATCAGGGAAGCGAAGCAAGGACCTGGATGGGAGGACTCCTTGGAATACCAGAGGCGGGAGGCAGGGGCCGGCTTTATTCGGCCACCCCTCTGAGTATCCTCCAGGCCCCCGGTAGGGGTCAGTCACCAGAAGTCGCCATGGCTTCCAGGTGCACACGCACACATGCACATATGGAGAATACAAAAAAAAATTCCCCCCAAAACACACCATGGCCAGATCAGCTGAGACTAGGTAACGAGAGAATGGTCAAATCAGCTGCATCTGACAGAAGTGCTGCCCTTCCTGTCACATACAAAGCCCTTGATGAAGGCCCTGACCGTCTTACCTGGGGAGCTGCCTCCTCTGGGAGAACCGGGTTTGGTTCCCCCACTCCTCCTCCACTCGCACCTGGCTGGATGACCTTGGGCAAGCCATAGTTCTGATAAGAGCTGTCCTTGAAAAAAGAGCAGTTTCTGTCAAGAGCTCTCTCGGCCCCACCTCCCTCGAGGCCCTGGGGGTCAGGAGGCCATGAGGACGGAGCCTTGCGCGGAGTTGCACTCATTTCCCCCTTGGGCCTTTACCAGAGGCCCCGCCGCGTCCTCTGTCACTTCTTTGATTACGAGGAGGGGGTGGTGGTGGTGGTGATTCAGTGGCTGGTTGGTGGAAGGAGTTGAGGGATGTGCCTGCTGCCTTGACCGCCTGATCACGCTTCGTGTGCCGAGCAAAATTTTCAGAGCAGGATCCTCCCGTGACGGTGAACCTGCCCCTTCTGGACCTACTCACAGTTCAGCTGTCTCGCTGACTGTCCGCGTCCTCGGATCTTGTCTGAATTAAGTTTCTGTGTGGTTGCTCAAACCCAGTTCTTTACGCCACTGATTAGGGATCTCCGCTGGCTTGTTGGATTCACAGGAGAAGGAAAGACTTCCTTGTGCATCACCAGTGCATCTAGTAGTCCAGATCTTTGGATACTTTCTCCCATTAGTCTCAGGCAGAGAGTTAAACAGGTGGGAGAAGAGCAGGAGACCTACATGCGGCACCCCATGATGTGGCAAAGAGCAGGGTGTGAAACAGTGCCATCTTGGGGCACCTGCCTGCCAGGGAGGAAGTCAGCCCTCGTACAGTGGCATGGCCCACACACAGCACCGGCTGCCCAGCCTAGAAGGGGGTGCTGTAGTGGATCGTCCCAGAAGCCACTGAGAGGGAGTCCTGGAAGCAGCAAGAGCGATGGGCTCTCCCTGTTGCTGACTGCTTAGCAGAGGCCCTCCAGCAACACAACCAAGGCCAGAAACCAGACAGGAGAAAGGGTCTATAGGCCTTGTGTTTCGTTTAGAACACCGTGGGGTTGTGTGGTGACCCCTGTCTCTCTGTCCCCTTGCCCGGGGGTGGGGGGTGGGGTGGGGGAATGTGATATCTATGAAGGCATAAGGACAGGTATGTTTCCAGAGCAGTTTCTAGTTTTCCTAGTAAGTTGATAGGCTGCTTTGAGTTCAGATGAAACTGACCCTGTTTTCTGGTTGAGAAAAGAATTGTAGGCATGATGATAGTCATCTGTTGGGTGGGGAACCTGGCCCAGCAGCACACTTGGGGTGTTCCAGCTTAACCCTGGTGCTTCCTGTCCGTGGTATGAAAGCAAGATCAAGGGAGGTGGTTTTGTGGAATGCACAAAACCTGTCGTAGCCAGGGTGTCACATCTGGACTGGGGAGGCTCAGAGCCAAGTCCGTCCCGTCCCGTCCCGTCCCCCCCCCCCCCCCCCCGGTCATGGAAGATCTCTGAGTGTCTCCAGGCTCTCCAGCCTAGCCCAACTTCACAGTGTTGCTGTGGAAATAAAGGCGTTGGCGAGAGAGCCGCGGATGCCCCCCTGGGGTCTGTGGAAGGACCGGCTGAAAGTGTGTCCTGTCAGCTTGTGCTGCCCCTGCGTCCAGGCGCACGCTCCCCTTCGCTCTGAGGCTGGCGTTCTTCCAGGTGGGACGTTGTCTACCGGCAGCCTCTTGGCAGCTGCAGAGGAAGTGGCCTGTCACTGCAGCCCAGGGAGGAATCTTCCCCGAGGTCCAGGTAATTTCAGAGAACTGACCGTGTGTCAGATGTTTTAGTGACTGGTTACGGTGGTGTGAAAATACAAGACGGCCAGTCGCAGGACACGGGAGCTCTTCAGCCTGTCCAGGAGTCACCCAGCAGACAAGGAAGGTGCCTGCAGCCCGGTCTTCTCTGCGGCTGGCTCTGCCTAGGCCTGGGCCCCCACCCACTCTGGCTGCTCCTGGCAACCAGCTCCAAGGGCAAGGGCCCGCTTGCACTTTTGATCCCCCCCCCCGGCCTCTGAGGCGCCCAGAGAGACCCTCACAACAACCCAGCAGAGTGGGTTATGCCTCAAGGTCCCCGAGCAAGCCTCACGGCAGGGGGTGAGTCTGAACCCCCGGGCCTTCTCGTTCCTCGTCTGACACCCAGACTACGACACCAGAGACCGGCTCTGCTGGCCAGATGTAGAGTCAGGGAGGCCACGTGGCCTGGCTTCCGTTTGCTCTGAGGAAACGCTGGCTGCCCTCTCCCTGTTTCTTCTCGCTCTGGACACACAGCTGTTCCTTGCTGGGCAGGGGCCGCGCTGTTCGCTATGTGATGCGGAAGAGCTTCTGGCTGCTGTTTTTCATCTGTCTTTAGTCACAAGCTGAGGACGGCAAAGTCTGGTGGCTTCTTTTTTTCAGGGCAGAAGGTGGAATGAGGAGGGGCAACATGGGCCACCTGACCCGAATCGCCAACATTGTCGTGCAGAATATGGAGAAGGGCCCCATGCAGGCCCAGATCTGTGAGTTCGTGAGAGGTAAGAGAGGGGCAGGGCTACCAGGAAGGCGGGAGGTGGATGGGAGTGGAACATATGCCCCTGGAGAGTGCTGCAGTCGCCCTCCGGGCTGCTTGGGCCACCAGCGCCTCTTCTCTGTTGGTTTGCGGTGCTAGAAGGAGCCCCCTTCGGTTACATACTTTGCACCATCAGGTGATTTAGATTCCTCATAGTACTTGCGGAAGGGTTTCAAGTGGTAGGGCTGAGAGCAATGTTCCCTCTAAGCTGTGGAGTCTTGTGAGCAAGAATTCTACTTTGTGAGCTACTGGGGCATTAAAGTTGTGAGCGAGCAGTTTGGCTACTCTGTAAATTAGCTTGCTCTGGAGCCCCATCCCTTCCTGAGCTAAGACAAAAATGTGTGAGCCGAGGGCTAAAAAACTGTGAGCTAGCTCACACTCACTGAGCTCAGAGGGAACACTGGCTGAGAGATGTAATCTGGAGACCAACTCCAGCTAGTTAGTGGCACAGGCTGTGGGGCCGCGTAGTCCAGCTCCCAGCTTATGTCAAATATTAGAAAACACACCACATACCCACACGAGCATCAAAAGTATGGTATACAGAACAGTGAATTTTTTACAATAAAGAATATATGTCTCAAAACTGTGTCATTCAACATGAGTCAAATTGTATACAGTCATACTGACGAATTTACATTTCATAACAATCTCATATGACTCAGATTTACCACAATGTTGCTAATCACATACTCAGTTTCAGTAGATCCTATGAAATGTCAAGCTGATTACAAACTGCACCAACAGAAGTGTGTATATTTTGAAATTCATATGAAACAAAAGCAGATGTTGTAGCTCGTTGTAGCTTTGTGAAGTCATCCAGAACGGGTCAGGTCATGGCTTTGCTCGCTCTGGTGGGGCTAGGATTACCCGTTAAGCCACAAGCCGCTTTGCCTAGCAGCTTGGCTCCTCCAGGACCGCCCACTATTAAGTGCATCCTAGAACACTTTGTTGGAAAACTTTCAACAGGGAGGTCTTCACTAGCTGAAGTGGAAATTTTTCTCCTCTTGGGCTTTCCTCAAGGGATTGGGCCCCAGTGAGTGCCCTGTGGGTGCCAGTTTTGACGAGTTCCAGGAGGTGTTTCCTTCCTTCCACCAGTAGGGGTAGATCTAGCCATAGTTGCAGCCTTCCATGATGCTGGGCGGGGGGGATTCATTTTTGCCAGTGGAATTCCAAGTCCCTTAAAAAGGCACCCTGAGTATACATGTGTACTTTGGGTGTTTTTCTATTGTGTCTGGAGATACATCCGCATAAATATATTTTTCTGCAACTTTTTGCTGCTAGGTTTTGGTGTTTGTTGCAGTTGTTGCTTTCCTTGTAGTTCTGTTGTGAGTCCTTTCTCAAGGACCTGATCACCAGCTCCTCTCCTCTCCTCTCCCCCACCCCCCTCTTCCATCCAGTCCCTCAGTAGGGAGTGTCTGGAACATCTCAAACAACGTGGATTTAGATCTGGAAAGCACGCCATCTAATCTTTAGTACTGCAAGGCACTTTATTGCTAACTGTTAATTTATGTCATGAATGAGTATGTGTTTTATGTAGTTTTAAAATTGTTATGGTTATGCCAATTAGGTACATTGTACCGCTTTGTTAGCCACCCTGAGCCTGTTCACAGGATGGGCGGGGTATAAATATAATAAATAAACAAATACATCTGAACCCATGACCGCTGGCTGTGTTCTGCTACAGTCATCTTACAGTGGCCTACTTAGTGACCATTACTTTAGCATGCTGAGTTAATGAGTTGTAGGCTGTCAATTCATGAAGGTTCACAATGAGAAAACAGTTGTTTGCCCTTCCCTCTGGTTCCTGCAAGAGGTGTTTCTTCCTGCCCCCGGGATGAGAGCGAGCACCCGTCACGCTTTAGTGAGCCACTGATGATGTTTAAAGGAAGAATCCAGCTGGCTGTCAGAGGGCATAAGGGGGGGGGGGGTCGGGTCTTCCCTTTGATGTGGGCAGCACTCCTGTTGGTGCCCTTTCAAACCAGGCACTGACCCGGGCAGCTGACCCAGCCGCACCCCCAGGCGCCCCCGCTCCGGTCAGAGAGCCCGGGCAGCCTCTTGACTCAGGAAACAGCAGTGGAGAAGGAAAAGACAGAGGAGATGGGTAGACCGTTGGAGGAGGAGAACTTGGGAGAAGTCCCACAGGGGGGCATATGGGGGGTTCTGTTTCAACGGCCACTCTGTGGCAGGGAGGGCAGCAAAGAAACAGTGCCTTTGGGCCACCCCCGCAGGGCTCTTCTTCTGTTCTTATGGATTCAGGAGAGGTGTGAAAGCAGCAGACCATCTGCACTGCTTTACTTTTCAAGGAGAAATGTAAGCTTGACGACATTTGGAAGAACAATTAAAGCTGAAAATTCAAAATTGAAAGTCTGGAAGATAAGGGCCACCGTCATAACTTCAGATTTCAGGGTTGGGGGGGGGTATTTTTAAATTTGAGAGGGCTGGGCTCTGACAGTGGCTTATGAGCCCTGAAAAGAGACAGTTCCTGTCATCAAAGACGCACCCAGGAAAGGTCCTCCCACTGAGAAGCAGAGATCTTCCTGTCAAGGATGGATGACTCACTGCGTGCCCCACAAGAACATTTGGTTGAAGAGCGGGAAGGAAAGGGGCTCCTTCCCTTATCAGGACTTCCAGTTTTCTTCCAAGTTATATCCCCAGAGGCTTAGATCACGGACAGCCGATGAAACAAGCCATGGGGGCTTTTAGCCCACAAATGGGAACCCTCGAAGGAGAGGGGCGGACCCTCTTGAACTTGGAGTCTTGGTCCGCTGCCCGTCTAAACCGGAGGGAGCAGTGTTCTTCCCGGGGCAACACACGGGTGGGGGTGGGGGGTGTCTCCTTCCGTCCTCCTGGGCCCTTTCTTCCTGCCCAGAGAGAACGTCAGATCCAAGAGTGTGGCCCACCTGCGCAGCGTGGGAGGCCTCTGGCATATTACCTGAGGCAGGGAACAGCGTCCCCTGAGACGGGCCCGTGCGTGTCATTTGTCTTCTCGCCCTCAGCTCATGGCTGACTTGGAACCACACAGAGTCACACAGAGTGGGAAGGGCCCCCCCCCCAAGGCCATCCAGTCCAACCCCCCCCCCCACACCCCCGTTCAGTGCCTCGTCAGCCTCTAGAGCGCCCCGGACCATTGTGTGTCCAGCCCCTGCGAGGGCAGCCCTGGTGGGGCTCTCGAGGCCAGAGAGGTGGGCTTCTTGCCGTGGCCTGCCTCTGCCTAGCGGCCCGGGACTTCCTGGGTGGTCTCTCCTCCAAACACTCACGAGGGGGCCCCCGCCTTGCTTCGCTTCTGGGGTCTGACGAGGGGGGGGTCAGGGCGAAACGGCCCTGGGGAGCGGCTGCTTGCCCCACGGGGGGAATCTAGCAGGTGCAGATGGGCCTCCTGGCCACTTTCCCCAGTGGGGCCCAGAGTGACTCCGCCCCACCCCCCCCAAGGCTGTTTCAGGTGGGGAGGGAAAGGGCACGAGGGCGGGGGAGGCCCAGGGCATCCTCTCCCTGCAGACGGGGGTCCTGCACAGAAGTGCCGGACTGTGTCTGTTGTCCCAGCCAGGGAAAACGGCCTCCCTTGTCTTGCAGGGCTTCCCGAGGACTGCAGAGGGCGGTGGGAGAGCTTTGTGGAGGAGACTTTGACGGAGGCCAATCGGCGGAACACGGTGGACTTGGTGAGTGGGGGACCAGGCTGGCCGTGGCCTGTAGGCCGGCCACTGCCTGCCTTGGGCCGTAGCTGGACCGCTCTTGGATGGGGGCTTTTTGGGGTGCAGCTCTCTGCATGGAACAACAGAGTGTGGGGCTCCCTTTCCGGTACAGGGAGTTTGGCTTTTCTCCCCGTGGCCCCCAACGTGTTCTTGTTGAGGCAGCTGATGTTGTGCGTGGGGGGGGGGGATAGTGGTAGGCCGAGTGATGCTGGCTGCTTCCCTGACTCCTGCCACTCATGTCAGTTCTCCTTCCAGGTGAGCACCCACCACCTGCACTCTTCCAGCGAGGATGAGGATCTTGAAGCTGCCTTCCCCAGCGACCTCTCCCTCCAGCAGGTAAACACCCCCACCCACCCCCGTTGGCTGGCTGGCTGGTGGGTGATGGAGGTGTTGCAACAGGCATTGTGTTTTGGATGTCCTTTGAGTATCTGGCGCAAGGTAGAGCCTGCTCAGGGTTCACTGTGGGACTGGGCAGGACGCAGGCTGCAAGGTTTTCTGTGGTAAGCAAAACGACTGGATTTCTTAACAGGCAGCGTGAGGCGTCAAGCATTTCCCCCTCTTTTTCCCTGTTGTCTCTCAGGTGCTTTTGGAATGTTGTTGACTCAAAGTTGGGTGCCTGTTTTGAGTTTTTTGGCTTTGGGCTTGGATTTGATCTGTCTTCCCATGTGGGTGGTGGGATTTCTGCAGTGAAGGAGAGTTTAGGTTTGTAAGTAAAGCCTCTTGTGGTAAATCCAGCTTCTGGGGATATAGAGTTTATCTGCTGAGAAACAGCCAGGGCTTTTTGACCAGTAAGGAGACAGTGGTCTCCAAAGAAGTCCAGTAAATTTTCTTTTAAAAAGTTCTGTAGGTTTTCTGTTCCCCAGTGGCTTTCTGTGGAAGGGGAGGGTCTTTGTGGATCTTTAGGCGTCTCTTTCATAAGGGCATTCTCGGATATTGGACTCCGAAACTGCATTAGGGAGGGAAGTTGGGTTATAATGCAATGATGAATAGGTGTTCGGCACCAAGACAGTCAGTTGTGTGCTTCAGAGGCCTTGACTCACCTTGCACACTTTGGCTTCAGAGGTCAGAACGAGGAGGAGAAGTGCAGCTTGCTGGTGCCCTGTCTGCAAAGCGCATATTGGAACTCTTGTTTGGTGTGCTAGTTTGTGCATTCATACAACCCTCCCACTGAGGGTCCCCCCGCCATCGCCCTCTCCTTTATAAGACACACGCCACAGTCCACATCATGCCTGTTGTTAGGATCAGCTTTGTATACATCATTCTCTATTACATGTTCTTCAGCTTTTGGGGAAGTTGTGATTGTTGAGTCTGCTTACTACACTTGTTTCTGTTTTCTATTATCGTTAGGTGGATTGTGCCTTTTTAAAAATTGGATTTTACTTTGGGATCCACAGCTTTTCTACATTTTTATTTTAGCCAACTTCGACAGCCAAAAGATTAGAAATGTGGCTGTAGAAACAAACCTTTCCTTTGAGGACTTTCGCATGCCAGATGCTGGCGACAGTTCTGCTTTTGTAAGAACCCCATAAGTATGTGAGATGCGCATAATACAGCGCTGTTCCTTTGTTGGATGTTTTGTTGCCACCATCAGCAGTGTGGTGGCTGCTCTGACCACAGGGCAGGTGGAGCACGAAGGGAGGGCTTGGAGGGGTGAACGGGCAGCCGGCGACACTGTAGTGACGGCACGGTTGTTTCCTCAGGCATTCTCCGAGTACCAGATTCAGCAGATGACAGCCAACTTTGTGGATCAGTTCGGCTTCAACGATGAAGAGTTTGCCGACCAGGATGACAATATCAAGTGAGCCATGCCTCCTCAGAGGAGGTTCCTTTAAATTCAGATCAACCTCCGGGTCCAGGGACTGCGGAGGGTGGAAGAAGGGCTGGCACAGCTGCTCACGTTCTTTGGCCTGGCTGCGCTTCCTCCTTGGAGACGGAAGAAGGTTCTTGGATGCGTGCAGTGGAGACCGGCTGCTGATGGTGGGCAGTTGCTTGTAGTTTTTGCCCATACGTGATCTCTGTGGGGAGTGGGCAGTTTTGTGATGCCAGAAATTGCACGTGACTGTGGGGAGTTGAAGTATTTCATTGTTCCATGAGTTAAGAACGTCAGAAGAGCCCTGCTGGATCAGACCAGTGAGGATCCATCTTGTCCAGCATCCTGTCTCACACAGGGCCCCACCATTTACTCTGGAGGGCCAACGGCAGCGCATAGAGGCCAGAACCTTCCCCTGAGAAGACCCCTGCTGGACCAGACCAGTTGGAGGGCCAACAGTAGGGCACAGAGACCAGTGCCTTTCCCTGATGTTGCCTCCTGGCACTGGGTTTCCGGCGTTGGTCGCCTCTGATCTCTGAGTCTCCCCTGAGTCGCCGTGGCTAGTAGCTACGGTCAGGTCCCCAGTCGAGTCACTCTCCACACACGCTTTCTCCTCTAGAGGAAGGCTTATTCAGAGATCTGAGATGCTCCTGGGTTCAGACTCTTTGTCAGGACGGAGGGACCAAGGCGGGAAAGCAACCTAAAATCACAAGCCCAAATTCCATTCACACGCGTCAGCAGCAATACTATAATGACCATGAGAGATATGCGGTCAACAACTAGCAAAGCACAGACTTTACTTCAAGGACACTTCCCGTGTGAAAGATGTCTTTGAGGCGCCATGGAAGAATTACTGAAGCGAGCCTCCCTAAAATTCTACCGGCACTCACTACCCCCCTCAGGAATGCGATGGCAGGTGAGGGGAAGGGATAAGGGGCCAGGAATAGCAAACGGTTGGGTGCAGGGAGCAAAAGGAAGCAGGATCGATAAACGTACTGGGTGGAAATACAACAGGGACAGCTATGGACCTCTGGTCTCCATGAATCTGTCCAGACTCCTTCAAAAGGTGCCCGTGCCTCTGACCACCACTGCCTCCGAGAGCAGCCAATTCCACATTTTAATCACTCTCTGTGTAAAGAAGCATTTTCCTTTGTCCGTCCTGAATCTACAGCCCATCAACTGCATTGGAGGCCCTCAAGTTCCAGTCTCTTGAGAGGGGCAGAAGAGTCCTCTCTGTCTACGCTCTCACTCTGCCCCTCTGTCACACACACACACACACACACACACCCCGGCTACCTTTTCTGCACTTGAAATGTCTGAGGCTCTTCAGCCCTGCCTCCACCCCCCTAACCCATCTCGGTCTTCCCTCTGCTGCACTTTGTCCAGCTCTGCAGTGCCTTTTCTGAGGTACGGGGACCAGAACTGCGCACAGTTTCCCAAATACTTTTCCACGGGGGCATTGCAATATTGGCTGTTTAATTTTTTCAGTTCCTCACCAAATAACCCCACACATAGAGGATGCTTTTTCACTGCCTGAGGCACGCTGGGTTAGCACTTTTTTTTTTGCTATCAGCTGCAGCCACAAGGTCT